TTTTCGTGTCATATACACTTTAACATTTGGTCAGCTACGATTTCGAGCTAACGCCCCCTCATGTGAGCCCATACAAATTATGTCTCAAAAACACTGTTTTGGGATCTTTTCTCAAAATAATGACCATCTAGGCAAAAAACAGAAGTGGATTCATTTAATTCAACTATTCACGGACTGTATTATATGGTTTAGATTGAATTCTATTGAAAAAAACCACCGTATTTTTTGAGTTGAATGTACGCTATTGGATGTATTTTACAAGAGAAAATGCATGACATAACCGGGCAAGCTAGAAAATCGTGTCTCCTTGAAATAAAACAGAACCTGTCAAAAAGAAAACAGAAGTGGATTTGAAAACCCCGGGCTTTCCTGAACATTTTGGTATATATTTCATAGAAATTTGTTAAGATTTAGAACCGTATTTTTGCTGATTTTATAAGCTCATACTATCTTTTGGCCTATACATTCGCCTCTTATGGTTTCTTAGGTTTCGTAGCCTCGAAAACACGCTAACTACGGTAGTTAGCGAAAGAACAGAAGATTTACGGGTCATTTAGGATGTTGTGTCACGCAGTTTACTTGTGCTATATAACTTTACTTTTAAGAACAACCTTTTGCTTTGGAAAGAGAGGAAAAAGACCGAAAAGATCAAATATTCCAAATGTATGGGTAATTTTTTGCAATGCATATTTTTACGTAGTTTTATGGATCTCAATTTTAGCTTTATATTTCTATTGTTATCATATATCTAACATAATATTTCATTTTTATCAATATTTTTATTAGGATTTATTTTATACACAGCTTCAGTGTATATAAGTTTCTTCAACTTTCTGAATTCTGTGTTAAATAAAGTTTATTATTATTATTTATTATTCTATATTATTCTTTTCCATGGCATAGGCTCTTGCTACTTTTCTTTCTCTTTTTTCTTTACTAGTTCAAGGCTTTTCTTTATAGTGTTAAAAATGTCTCCATGAACAAAGCTTTTTCATGACTATACGATGACCAGATGTGTAATAATGCATGCCACATCTAGACAGACAGACAGACGATGTCAACCCACTAAACCAATAATATGTGTAATAATGAATTTTATCGTGATTACGATGACCAGATGTGTAATAAAACCACATCTAGACAGACAGAAGATGTCAAGAACACGCTATTAACCCACTAAACCAACAAGTGTAATAAGAGGAAGGGTATTCATCGGGTTACTTCAAGTTACGCGCTTTTCGAATTACGCGCTCGACCACACCCAAATTTGACGTCTTCACACAGTTCGCGTAACTCGATGCATTAAGAAAGTTGCGTGAGGTCGTGTTACGCGATAGGCGCGTAACTCGAACTCGAGTTAAATTAAACTGTGAAGAGAAGCATCAGTGATCGACACTGACTGGACACCAGCGAAAAACGTTTGCGCATGCGTGCACTTCAGCACGTTTTCTAATAATTTTGAAGAGTTTGAGTGAGAAAGAAAGAAAAGAAAGCTCGTTCCATCCGGTAACATCGTTGCAGACAGTGTTTCAGCTAAGTACTCTCTGTGGTAACGGATTATTTATCAAGCTCTTTTAACATTTCACCACACAACGAATACAGTGTTCCGGCTCTCCTTCTGGACAGCATGCAACAGGTCTTCTATTTTCCATTCTATTCCATTTGCAGTTTTTTTGATTTTTTTGCTTTAGTGTTCACATCAATTGTACATTTAATTCAACTTATTTATTTCATGATCTTTTATTAATTAGTTATTTATTTATTTATCTCCAATCTATAATAATTACATGTCTATAAATATCATACACAGAAAACTGAAAGAAGATGAGAAAGTAATGRAGTTGTATAAAGTGACATTGCAATAGTGTTGTATATGGTAAAGTCACTCGTTCGTTCTTAAGTGCGGATGGGATTGAAGCTCTGTTGTGGAGTATTAGGGAGATGCGGGATAACAGACCGTCAGTTTTAGGGATACACAAATAGTGATTTTTAGGCCTTGTTTCGTGCGACTTTTCGTGTTTTTAGAATCGATCGGCTTAGGTTCCTTTATGATTTGCCGAGTCAAGTTTATCCGAACAAAATAAACGTATAATGTAAACACTGAAACAAATATACCCCGATTATCCCCACCTTATCTAAGGTTTTGGGGATAAAACGGCCCTTTTAGTTTTAGCTATTAATCTTGTTAAAATCTGAAATTTCCCGAAATTTAACCACGTGCAATGAGCACCTGAGTGCACTGTGATTTTTTTTTGTTGTCTTTTTTTATTTTTATTTTTATTTTTATTTTTATTTTTTCAAAACGAGTAATTTAAAGTCAACTTCAACTTTAACTTGTTTATTTACACTTTGTTGTATACAGTTATATATTTACAGGATATAATCGATACAAATACACATTGTAATATACAAATAGGGGAATAAATGTTTCTTATAATTCTTTTTATAAATGACTTCAATGATTGGGACTTAAGACTATCAGGAATTTGTTCCCATATTTTGATTGCTGAATATTTAAATGAAAATTTTCCATAATTAGTTCTTATTTTTGGAACATAAAAATTAGATTTTGAAGAATATCTTGTATCGCAATCCTTTGGTTTGTTTGTTATTCTTTTAATTTGGTTTGGATCTAATTATCTGGGCTCTACTTTTTCAACTCGAATGACTGATGGATGGAAATAAAAAGTGGGTTAACTCATTAAAGATAAAAACGATTAGTAGATGTGTCGGACTAATTGACAGTCATACCTTTAATATAAGAATCCGTTAGCATCTGGCTATTTGGCATATTTTTTGTCACGAAAGAAGATTCAAAAAAATTAAACTCAAAATTAAAATTCCTCTTATTTCTAATTAAGGAAGAGATTGGTTAGATGGTCGTTTAAGGAAGAAAAATTCAAACAATGTAAACAAGAGAGAGAAGCCAGCAGCTTACGGCTCGCCCTCAAAGTGCTTGCTTTTGTGCTACAAAAGCAATACAATAAGATTTTAAAAAATAAACGTGGACTCCTCTGCTTTCATCTATAACGAGACCTATAAATCGGCATAGATGGTCGTTTGAGGAAGAAAAATTCAAACAACGTAAACAAGAGAGAGACTAGCAGGAAGTTTACGCGCCCTCAAAGTGCTTGCTTTTGTGCTGCAACGCAATAAGATTCAAACGAAATAAATGTAAAGACTCCTCCGGTTTTTGTCTATACCGATATCTATAAATCTCATAGATGGTCGTTTAAGGAAGAAAAATTCAATCAACGTAAAGCAAGAGAAAGACGCCTGCAGCTTACGCGCCCTCAAATTGCTTGAGGTACGGCACGAGCTCTTAATAAGAATAATATTGAAGATTGTTGACGTGCTCAAATCTATGCGTGGTGGCATGGTCACGGAATAAATCGTGAAATAACGAAAACACTACGGTGTCAAAACAGTTTTTGAGACTTAATTAATGATATTTTACAACATGAACCAGAGCAAATAAAGTGATAAAATATCGTTAATAATTAATTAAAACAACTTAACTCATATAAATGTGAGACCAGCTTGCCGGGGCTTTTCTTTTTTTTTTTTTTTTTTTTTTTTTTTTTTTTTTACCCCAAAAAATCTTGTTGGCTGAAAAACAGCTTTGACATTCGATCTTATTGAACCCATCTCACAAAACCACCAAACCCAAGCATCCTGGAATTTGTCTTTAATTACAAATCTGTTATCAGCTTTCGTATACCACGCTGTAACTAGTCTCAACGGAGTAGTATATAAATACTGACCTCATATTCAGTTAGTCATTGACGACTGAGTTCGACCTTCTTCATCAAAAGAGCAGTAGTGTGGAAGAATTCTGCAGAAAAAGAAGACAATGAAGCTCTTAATCCTTGTACTCTGCCTCTGTATAGCAGTAGGTATGTATCATGTGTCATTATTTATGGTGGGATAGGAGGTAGTTCTCATAACCCCTCCCTTTCCTTAAGGATGATTTCCATGACCCCTCCCGGGTTGGGATATGAAAATAACCCCAACCCCTCCTTCAAAAACTAAACTGCATCAAATATGAATATTCTCTACTTGACAATTCAAATGTTATACAAATTAAAGATAACATAATATAATAATATAATATAATAGTTCCTGAGCATTATTAGAACTCAATGCTCTTACGATACACAATATACATATCATTGACAATACGTATTTTAAATTCCACGAAGATTTTGAAACCCCAATAGAATACAGTGACAAGTATTTGACACGGCATCTTATACTCTATTTGTTATGTTTGTTTTTATTTCAAGGTTCTAGTACTTTGAAATATTTCAAAGTCTGAGTAGTAGGACTTTGAAATATTTCAAAGTACTAGAACTTTGAAATAGGTGCGGTCGTTGATGGGGGTTTCAAACTACTGCACGTGGTACAAATRAGAAACCCTGGTTAGTCGATTAGCTTATGAATCATTAATCATCATTTTTTAAATCAATTTTCTTTTTCTGGTTACTTTTTTTTAGCTGAGAATTCCAAACTCATAGACAAACTTGAAAAACTCTATTCATCCGACTCTGCATCCGACTCTCAACCCCCAGACATCGGCATTCTTGAAAAAGTAGACGAGCTCGATGCTCTGATGCAGGATACAAAGGAACCTGAACCGATCGCTTCAGAGAAAAGAAGGGTTACAAGTAAGTCGTATCAGTAAAGTCACGTGACTCACATCTGTCGTCACACACCCGTCAATCAAATTTCCAACGGTATGAGTCAGTACTTTTTGATTGACGGCACCCAATAATTTTTTTTCAAAACTTGCTAATAAAGAACATTTTCAGCTTCATTTGTTTCTTCATTCATTATTGATCAATTAATTGGTTAGTTTATTCATTAATCATATCCTTTTTGTAATCACTACCAAATCCTGCAATCTGATTGGTTCAAAGGAGTGCGATTAATTCCCAAATCGCATCCTTAGGAGCTCTTAATCGCATCATTTTGGGCTTTTAATCGCATCTTTTTGAAAGAGCCAATCACAGAATAGAATTCTTATATTCAGCCAATCAAACAAGCCTTTTCAACGCGTTTGCAAAGTGTTTTTCTCTGTGAATTGGAACATTTTCACAATTTTTGATAGATTTTATTACGAAAAAGCAAAAAAAAAAAGATTGTATTTTTCATCTAGTCATGTAATCATGTGTATGATTACAAAAAGGATATGATTAAGTGGTAATTGAACTTCGTGTCGTGCAATTTTGGACCAAAATCATACTAGTGATTACGAAATTGCACGACCGCGTAAATTGCACTCCACTCAGCTCAATTACCATCATTAATTACTCAAATACGTAATTAATTGACTCAGAATTTATTAGTTAATTAATTTATTAATTAAGTATTTATCAATTGATTAATTCACTAAAAACATTAAATACTTGATTAATTAATTCGAGTCACTTTTTATTAAATCAAAATTGATTTGAAACTGTTGTTTCTAAAGAGAAAGGATACTGTTTTGACGGAAAAACCCTTGCTGATGGTCCAGGAAATAGAGGATGCGCAGGTAAGTACGGTACCCCCTAACCCCTGGGGAAAACAGTTTTGTCCAACAACCGTACAACCTCCCCCCCACCTCCCGTACCCCTGGGGCAAAACACTTTAAGAGCCTTACTTACAAACCCACACCATACTCAAAACCCAATGTGGGGGAAAACTTACAAGATGTTCATTTTAAAACCAAGTACTGCCCGGTTTTTAACACCAAGTTAATTTCTATTTTTAAGCTTTACCAAAACTTTTATTCCAAATTAATTGTCTTATGATTTCGTCTTATTTGTCCAGGAAAATTGTGCTACGACGCGATGCCCGCATATTGCGACCGTGAATTTGAAAATTTGAACGAGAAAGAAAGGACAGATTTATGTAAAAAATACAAGGAACATTACGAGCAACGTTGTCCTTTCACCTGTGGCTTCTGCAGTAAGTAATTCTACTTCTGTGTGACCTCGCACACCGATCGATCTATTCTAAACCATTTTGAAATTATTTCAACTATATTCTACAACCTCGTATCTTTCGATTTTTTCCCCAGAACATCGTAGTCCAGGTCTGGATTGCAGAAGAAAATACGGAGTTAATGAATGTTGTTGGAATGGAGTTCGTTCTTTGAAACCCGACAAAAGTGACTGTATGCGTAAGTCTAGAAAGAATTGAGACCTGTCGATCACAGGGGTAGTGACACCTATTTCAAAAGGGGTTGTTGGAGATGCGATAGCCGAAAGCTCATTCCTATACAAGTCCACTACAACTGAGCAGCTCTTTGGATATCTTAAATCTAACCTTTGTGTTCTTGATGAGAATATTAATAAGAAACACAAGTTATTCCAGCTATTCTTGACTATTTTTGGACCTTCATATCTCTTATTTATCTCCTCTTGTTTTAGCTACCTTTTTTGAAATAGGAGTATACATGAATGAGAGCTGTTTTACAGTAATTCCTCAACCCACAAGAAACCACCATGCATTCTTAGCTCTTCATTTAACGAATCTTTTTCTGATTTTTCAGCTTGTGCAGACATCTACCCCGAAACGTGTAAAGAGTTTTTTACCAACAGGAATGGCCTAAGATGTGGCTCTAACTCCTACCATATTCGAGATTTCTTGGACAAGAGTTGTCCTAAACTATGTGGTAGATGCCAATGTAAGTTAAATCAAGTACAATTATTCTATATAGGTTTTCTTGAAAATAGACCTTTGAGCGCATTTTAACTTTGTGGGCCACAAAATCGAAAAGAAAAAGAAAGTTTACAGAAATAAAAGTTAAGTTGCGGCTTATCTGATTTCTCGCATTCTGAATGGTTTTGAACAGGAGCATGAGAATGCATTTTCTTGCTTTCTGATTGGCTCTCAGCCACGCGCGCGTTTACAACTCATTCAAGAGTCCTGAAAAATATTTTTTTCATTGACGACTTGTTGTTKTTTAGAAGCAAATAAAAAGACTTATAAAGTAATTTATTGACTTTTTCTTTTTCAGAAAMMGTTGATTGACCATCCTCTGATTGCACCAAACACTATGTAAAACAGAATCTTTAAAAACAGTAAACACAATCTAAATAAGCGTCGTATTGGAAGCTCGTTGCTCAGGTTTGGTTGCACAGTGCATATCTTAGATATCGTAAATAATTAGAATATTTACAAAAAAGATTGCTTTATTTGAGCGAGAGAAAATGAAAAATGATACCATTTAGTGATACAGTGAATGTAATATCTAATTAACTGCTTATTTGTTAGAAATAAAGAAATACAGATAAATGAATTCTGTTGTAGCGAAAAGTCTTATCATTCGAATGCTCCGCCTTCTGTCGCCAACGATGTCGCTTTGAACACCGTATTTGCACTTTGAACCCCGAAATCACCAAAGAAAACGTGAACACTTAAAATATGAATGATACTACACACATACGAGAGAAAATAGAAAATAAAGACTAAAAACTTACCAAAACAACTATACGGAATTGAGAGACAGACGTAGACAAGCTCCGCATCTCGGGCAGGCGTCCATATTCATAGCTCGCCCAGCAACATGGGAACATTTTAGAATAACAAACAAATGCTTTTTTTCTCGATTATTAGAATGAAACGAAATTTTTTCTTCCTTCCTTCCTTCCTTCCTTCCTTCCTTCCTTCCTTCCTTCCGCATTCATTCATTCTTAAAATTTTAGCACTCCTTTTAAA